GCTATAATAATACTGCCATTGGATTGCACATAGGTAATAATACTATCGACTTACAATGTCATCGCATACATATTTAAAAGTGCCAAAGACAAAGTCACAATAACAGTGTACTATTTGTAATTGTAGACTACCTGGCAATAATACAATTTGCCTGAAAATATCTGTCAATAGGAGATTAGTTCTGCACTTAAACACCTCTAAAAAGAAACGCAGTTGTGTTTCGGTTATTTTCTCTATGGTTGCAAATGCACGCGATTTACCGTTACGTACATACATGTAGTCGCTCATACGACTATGACAAGCCCCCAATGTAATGTGGGTATAATTCTTCAATACATGAATATAAAGTTGTGTTCCCCATGTTGTATAACACTTAGTGAACCCACCTATAATACCAGACTGTGCATCAGTTGGATGCATAAACAACCAAAATGCATGACAAACACAATCTGAGAGAAACACTATACTGTTTCAAGTTATCATATATCCACTATACAGTACACTCCACTGACTCCAGCTAGATCCATCATGCATGTATACTCGCTTTCTGTGCCTGGCAATGGAATTTGCAGAGGCAAGCAATAATTGATTTTCATCCATATCATATAACAAATAATCCGCATGCATAAGTTGCTTTATAAGGCGGTTTAGTTGGCATTAGCGTATATTCACTAACATAATCAATCAGATCTTGGATTTTGAGGAACGAACATTGCATAAATGAATATGAGTCCGTTTTTCGTCCTTAGATGCAGGTTAACTATTCAGTTATCTTTCCACCTATACATTCATCACCTAGTTCCACAAATTTCTCACTGTACAGGTAGAGCACTCGTTTTTCTCTTGCGTCTTTCCTTTTGTTTTTAAGGCGAACAACAAACTCGAATGCGTTCTGGTGATGTTCACTCCTGCTCTCTGAACCGAAGACTATTCCCGGATTGCAGCCTCATCGCTCGATTATGAACTCTAAAACATTTAACCTATGAACTGTCTATATGTATTGTAATGTTCCTGCATGAATTGCGAGGATGAGGTTTTACTGAGGTTTTACTAGTAGTTTATAACGCTCAGAAGTTTCTATAATCCAGTTTAAACAATGGCAAATTCAAAATATAACCTAACTTGGATACTTGCAGGAATAAAATGGTTATAAACACTTTATACTGGTTGTGGAAAAAGCAGCTAGTTCAAAATGCCAGCCTACTTGTAAACCCGCAGAGTAAAAGGGTAAAAACACTATGCTACTATTATATATAACCCTCGCTCCGACGTTATCGTTTGCAGTCTTAGGTATGGTGCTGTTTATCATGATGCTGATTCTTCTTACACTTGTAAAGATAGAGCTATGTGGGGAGCTGTGGGTGGTCTTGGCCCTACCCAGGTTTTCCTGCATTGCAGGTTTTTTCCTGGCCTCCCTGATTACCCAGCCTTAGTATAAGTGTCAGCATCAAGTGAAGAGCATTCTCTATTGAACCTCGGGCCTTTTGACTTTGTT